CCCAGCCCCACCCCTGGGCTCCAGGGGGGTCATTTCCGAGTCCCCTGCCCACAGCAGCAGCGGACAGACCTCAGGGGTGCACCCTGGCCCCCCGGCCAGCGGTGTCCCCATGGGGTGGCCATCCTGCCCACAGCCAGACTTCATCCCACCTCTCCTGCAGGCTGGCGTTCCCCCCCCCCCCGCCCCCCGGCTCAGGGTCACATTGCCCACTCCCGAGGCCCCCCTCCACCCCTTGCTTGTTGCCAAAGGACTCGCCGGCCCCCCCATCCCTGGAGACTGGCCTTGGGCGGCCTTTCCCGTCCTGCCCTCTCCCCCCCCCCCCACCCCCAGCCCCAGCACCCAGTTCTGTGTCTTCCAGCTGTGACTGTGGAAGGTATTTGGTATGAAGCAAACAGAAAGCAGAAGCCAAACCCAATAATATGCAATATCTGTCCGTCTGTACCTGTAGACCTAGTCCAGCTATCGTGGGCCCAGCCCGGGCCGGCGGGGACAGGGACAGCCCGGGCACAGGCCTCCCGTCTCGTGGCGGCTGACACTGTTGTCTTTTCCTTGAGTTTATTTCCTCTCCTTTCACTTTCCCTTCCCTTCCCTTTCTTTCTTGTTGTCTTCAGTTTCCTTTGCTCTTTACTCAACCAAAGCCGAGACAGTGGCAGACTTGAGGGTGTCAGAGGGCTGAGTTTCTCAACCTCCGGCCCCCACCTGAGCCCACCGCGCATCTCCCGAGGGGACACAGCAGGCAGATGGCCCCCATTCGTTGACCTGCTGCCCGCCCCCGCCCCCCCCCCCCCCCAGAGCGGTGGGGGTGGGAGGACCCGCAGGCCGGCCCTGGCTTCATCCACCATCAGAACTCATACCATGTCCTGTTGCAAAAAGACACCTCAGCAGGTCCCAGGGGGCAGGTCGCGGTCTCAGTGGCCGAAACACTGCCCCTAAGATCTGTCCTTAGGTCCGAGGGCCCGAGGCCACGCATGTCCGTGTTCATGCGGCTGATTTCTGGTTTTTATTCCCCTCCCCCCAGAACTGGGGAGCAGCCACTGCAGAGTCCCTACCGGGACCCCACCCCGAGGGCTTCTCGGGGACCCCGTGGTCCCCCGCCACGGTCCCTTCGCAGCCCGCCCCGCCTGACCCCAAGTTCCAGCCATGCTGTAGAAAAGAACCGGGAGGCCTCCCGAGTACATACAGATGGCCCCCCCGTCCTCTCTTGGACGAGGACCTGGAACACCAACCAGGTGGAGGGGGAGGTGTGGAGAGGCGAGCAGTCCCGGGCCCGTCCAGCCGAGGAGAAAGGGGGTCAGGGGTCCCCAGGCCCAGGTCTGGGCCCCAGGCTCCTGCCGAGTTCTGAGCCCAGACCTCCACCCGTGAGCTAGACAATCAGACCCAAGAGGAACCCCGGAGCAGACGTGGGGGGCAGCCGCACCCCCCAGGCAGCAGACAATTCCAGCCTCAGCCCCACACATCCCCGTCTCTGTTCTGGAACCTTCTGTCTGTCCCCAGGGACGGCAGCCGTTAGGCAGGAGCCTGGGGCCAGAAGCAGCAACCCCAGGCCCCTGCAGGATAGACCACGCAGACCCCCTCCCCACTCTGGCGTCCCCCACGGTACTTTGGACTTTTTTCTCATTAATACAGATTATACAGTGGCTACTTTTTATTTTGGCCTGGATTCCCTCTCTGAGACCCCGGTTTTCACTTTCTTTTTGGAGGGTGTTGGGAGGGAGATTCCAGACAGACATCCTCAAATCCGGCTTCCTGCCATCTTTCCCCATCTCTGCCCCCTCGGGACGCCTCCTGAGAGTCCCCCCTCCAAACTGACACAGCCTCTCCCATCCAGCCAGCCATCCCGAAGCATCTCGGAGCGTGTGGGGACCCCTGAGCTGGCCCACCCCCACCCCCAGGCGAGGCAGGGACACAGACCCAAAGCCGTACCAGTGGGACTTGTTGCGATACCAAAACAGCCTTTTCCCAAGCAGTGCCTCACATGTCTGCTGGTGTGGCTTTGGGGTTCTCCTCCCCTGTTCCCCAGGGCCCCCCCCCCCCAGGCCTCAGGAAAGAGGAGGCGGGATCCAACAGGAGTAAGGGCTCTGGGAGAGGAAGGAAGTCGCTACCGCCCACCCCACAGCCCTCCATTCACACCTCCTGGCTACAAGGGGACCCACTGGAAGGGGACAGGGGGCTGTGTCCCAGCCCCCTCCGGCCAGGAACCCCCGGTCCACTCCCCCAATGCATCAACCCCCCACCCCTCCATCTTGGGTCCCAGTCAGGCTTCTAAAACCAAAGTCCCTTCAGATCCGGGGGTCCTGGCCTCTGCCCCCAGCCTCCTCCCTCCCACCCCCAGGACCCCGCATGGGGGAAAGACGACAGAGAGTCTGAGGGACAGAGCACAGCACAGGGGAGACAGGGAGGAAGGAGAGAGACCCACTTGACTCTGAAGTTCCTTCCTTTTCCTTCCTTTTCTTTCCTCCTTTCTCTCTTTTAAAAACTTTTTGGTGGTTGTTGATGTTTGTTTTCTTTTCCTCCAAGATATTTTTTGAGGTTCCCCCCCCCCATTTTGTATTTTACTGATATTACCAGGATAGTTTACTCTGTTTCTCGCTTCCTGCTTGCCACACACACCAGATCTCACACACACACACACACACACACACACACACACGCGCGCCACATTCATGAACCCAAGTTGGGAGAAGCCTCGGGCTGGGTCTGCCGCCCCCCTCTCCCTCCCCAGGTGGGGACGGGGGGACATCTAGGCGCACCTGGCCAACTCCTCCCTTGCCCGGCTCACCCGCCTGCCCCCTCCTCACATCATTCTCTGATCATAACCTTGTATATTACGCAGTCATTTCGGGTTTTGCAGACGCGCCTACCTAAGTACCATTTACAGAAAGTGACTCTGGCTGTTATTATTTCGTTTGTTTGTTTCCCTATGCAAAAAAAAAAAAAAAAAAAAAAGAAAGAAAAAATAAAAAAAGGGGGGGGTTCCATAAAAGATTCAATAAAAAGCAAAAAAAAAAAAGAAAAGAAAAGAAAAGAAAAAGAAAAAATGTATAAAAATTAAACAAGCTTAAGCTTCGACTCTTTCTGACTGTCTCGGGTCCTTTCTGTGCTGAGTGTGGGCCGTTCTGTGCCAGGATGAAGGACAGACGCCGGGCCAGTGGCCTCGGGAAGCAGGGACCCCAGCACTTCGGAGAATCGGGCAGGTGTTCTGAGGTCTTTAGATCAAGTGTCCCCCAGAGACGCTCCACAGTGTCTGGAGACATCCGTTGACGGGGGTGGGGGGGGGCACGGATGCTGTTCAGCCCCCCACATTGCCCGGGACGCCCCCGACAGAGAGTGATCTGGGTCCAGGTCCTTCCTGCACGGTCCCTAGTGGCTCCAGTGGTCTCCCGCTCCCAGGATGGGCCACTTCGCACCCCCCAAGCCTTTGCCCTGCCGTTCTGCTCTCTGCAGCCTCCCCTCCCTACGCAGACCCTTCAGGTCCTCCAACATCCTCTTCCTCCGGGAGGCCTGCCCGGGTTTCCCCCACCGGTCTCGGATTCCCCCAGGGTCTTCAGCCAACAAACTCCGTGGTTATCTAGGGAGCACCTGCTCTGTGCCAGGAATCTCCGCCTCCCCCCCCCCCCCACCCCGGCTCCCAGGACAGAAGCTGGCACACAGACGTTGCTCCATAACATGCAGGATGCGTTCCTTCTCTTTTTCCACCTGTCAAAGTCCCATTCATTCGGCAAAGATTTCCGGAGCATCTGCCGAGTACCAAGTACTGGGGACACGGCACGGAACAAAACGCCCCAAATAACCTGCCTTCATAGCCGTTACAGCTCCAAGTTGCAGAGATGCAGGGTAAACAATAAAAATCAGCAAGACATATATGGGAGGAGGTAGGTGCCAAAGAAGTAAAGCAAAGTAAGGGAAGGGAGAGTGGGCCTCGCATGAGGAGGTAGCATCTAAACAAAGACCTGAACAGAAGGAGGGAAACAGCCCTCTGAAAATCTGACAGATGAGTGTTTCAGGCAGAGGGCACAGTCTGTGCAAAGGCCCTGGGGTAGGACCCCACCTGGCGTGTTGGAGGAACAGCCAGGAGACCGGTGTGGCTGAAGCAGAGGGAGGGACTGAGGAAGGAGGGGAAGGGACAGGGCAGGTCCTGCATGCAGGGTCTTCTGGACCACCGTCAGGACTTGGGCTTTTCCTCCAGGAAGGTGGGAGCCCTGGAGGGCTGTGGGCAGAGGAGGGTGGGACCTCACTCGGTTCCAACACCCTCTCATCCAGGGGGCCTCCCCCACCTGCCTGGGCAAAGCCCCCGTTCACCCTCCGAGCTCCCAGCCCCCAGCCCCCAGTCTGTCCCACCCTGGCCCTGGTCACACAGGGCTGGCAGTGCTCGTGTCCGGTTCTTCCCCAACCCCAGTAGCCATGGGGGCTTCTCAAAGGCTGGGGGCAGATAGGAGCGAGGCTGTGGGGGCACAGGAGCATTGCAGGTGTGAGGGGCAGTCACTTCCCTTTCTTGGGGGGGCTGGGATCTCCGAGGCATTGCCCCTCATCCCACGCCCCCATTCCAAGTCCCCCAGAGACCTCCAAGGGCCCCCCAGTTTGGGCAACCAGAGCTCTCTGCTGCACAGGCTCCTTCCATACTCCAACAGACCTACCCCGGAGGGATGATTACATCCCTTTTTACTGATGGGGAAACTGAGGCATAGAGAGAGGACACACAAAGGGACCAGGCACAGTGCCCCTACACTCCACGCAGATGCACGGCCCCACGCCGCCAACCAGATAGGAACAGACGACAGTCTTTCGGGGGGGGGGGGGGGGTGCCGAGGCAGCCCAGACCCCACCTCTTCCCGTCCCCTCCCCCATCTTGGACCGGGCTGGGTGCTTCTGCCCTCGGCAGCAAGGTTCTGGCGCCCCCTCGTGGACGGGACGGGGAGCTGCACCCAGAAGCCAGTCTTGGGCGCAGGCGTGGCAGGCAGCCCCCAGCCACCTGCGCCCTCACCCCCACCCTGCAGCCCAGCCCCTCCCCGCAACGAGAAAGGGGGCCCTAGCAGGAGCTTCTTTTGCGGGATGAAGGTTCAGCCTGTTGTGGGGGCTCAGACAGCGTTGGGGTCATTTGGGGCAGGGCTCATGCGGGATGGGGGCTCGACCCCCATCAACCAGAGGTGGGGGGAGGGTCAGTCTGGAGCTCAGCCCAAGGTGGGGGGGCTCAGCCGGGATCGGGGGTCACTCAGAGCTGTGGGACTTCACCAGGGGTGTGGGGCTCAACCCAGAGTGGGAGGTCAACCGGGCTTGGGGTCCTCAGACCGGAGGTCAGGGCTCCGCTATTTTGGGGGGGGGGGGATCTCCAGGAAAGCATCTGTGGTTTCGGACGTTGGCCCCTGAGGTGATGCAGTTCTTGGCTCTGCGGGGGGGGGGAGCTGTCCCAACACTGCAGGCTGTTCGCCGTCCCCTGGGCCCCCAACTAAATGCCATAAAGGGACGCGGGCTTGCGACAGCAACAAAACGCTCCCCGCCCCATTTCCAGACGCCCCTAGAGGAGAAGTCCCGCCCCTGCGGAAGGGGAGGAGCCTACATGGCCCCGCCCTTCTCGCGACCTCTCCGACCTCCGCTCCGCCCCCACCCGGAACCCCCGGAGCGTCCGGACCCCAGAGCCGCAGTCTGGGTGCTCACGCTGCGGCCTTGTAGATCCCCCAAGCCTGTTCGAGGACGGCCGTGCGCCCGGCCCCATCCGCGCCGTTTCAGCATCACAAAAAGCTGGCATTTATTAGACGCCTTTTGGGTTCCGGGTTCTGTGCCCAGGATTTTTGTGGACATCTTTTCACTTCGTCCTCATGACAGCTTATAAAGGATCAAGTTATTTTCCTCCCCCCCTCCCCCCTTTACGGGACAGGACACTGAGGCACAGAGACGTTAAGTTACATGCTTAGGGCCACACAGCAAGGACGGAGCCGCGGAGCCGCCACCAAGAGGGCAGGGCAGGAAGAGGGGGTGATGACGCCGCGTCTCCTCCCAGCCTCGGCACCCGCACGCAGTCCCAGCTGGGGGGGGGGGGGGGGACAGTGACCAGAAACTCGGCACACGGTGGGAGGGGCGCTCGTCTCCCAGGAAACCGCCCTGCGCTCCGCATCGGCTCCAAGTTCTTGCCCAGAAGCAGCAGAAGCGAGATTGCAGGAGGACCGGACCGGGCCTGGGCCCTGCAAACACTGGAGAGCCAACTGCACGGTTTCTGCCCCACGTCCCTCTTGCCAGTGAAAAAGGGGGCTGGGGCAGGATGTGCTGGGGAAGGGGACGCATAAACACCCAAGTAAATGCAAAGAAGCCTCCCAGAGGGACTTGGGGTGGGTCCTGAGCGCTCCTCATTCAGGGACCCTTCACCCCGAACCCCACATGGGATAATTCCCCTGGCCCCGGGACCGGGACTTTGCTTGCAGAGTGCAGAGCAGGCATGGGGGCAGCCCTGGAGGCCTGCCTGGAGGAGGCAGGCGAGAAACCTTCATTTGGAGGAGCTCACCACTCCTTCACGGTTTGGAGGCACCTCTCTCTCCTCCAGCTCCAGCCCCTGGTCACCCTCTGCTTCTTTCTCCTCCTTTCTCACACTCCCCACGTCCTCCTCTTTGTCGCTGTGGAAACGAGAAGGGTCCAGAACACCTCACTTAATAAGGACTTCCAGCGCTCCCGGCCTCTTGCGATTCTCCCAGAACCTCCCAAACCCCCACGCTTTGTTGTTCCCATCGTACACAAGGGGTGCTGAGGCTCGGACAGGTTAGGACCCTTGCCGGAGCCCCCCCCCCCCGCCCCCCTCCCCCGTGAGCTACAGGAGCCCCAACCGTCCTGAGTCTCAGAACTGCAGGTGCCCCAACAGGCAGAGAGCCACGGAGACGGGTGGGTGGATGGGTGGCTAGGTGAGCGAGTGGCTGGGTGACAGAACAATTAGAAGGCCACGTGGGTGGGCGGGGGGGACAGGTGGACGGTCGCACGGGTGGATGGAGGCAGCAGCGATGGGGGCTGGATACACCCGTCTCGGGGAAGCCTCCTCGTTTTCAGGTGAGTAGTCAGGAGGGAAGTCCGTGAGGTTATGGGAGGCCCCATCGGTTCTGAGTCCAAGAACCCCCCCCACCCGGCCCTGCCCTGCCTGCCTCCTCCGAGGCTCTGGGAGGAGAGGGGAGAGACTCCCCGGAGGGGGGGGGAGGGGGCCGGTGGTTCGGCAGGGGAGGGGGGGCTCAGGCTCAAAGGGGGCCCACCTGTCGCGGGCCTCTCTGCACCAGACGGCGTAGACCACGGTGAAGACGAAGGTGAGGAAGAGGGCGGCCAGCGCGGCCCCCAGCCCCACCAGCCACGGCTTCCTCTGGGCCACTGCGGGCGGGGCGCGGGGCAGGGTCAGAGGCTGGGCCACCGGGTCGGGACTCCCTTCCCACCTCCTCTCCCTCCCAGAGGCCTTACAGGGCTGTGCCTGAACCAGGCACGGGACCAGAGCTTCCAGAAGGGAGACCCGGCCAGTGGTCATCCAGAACCTGTCCATCCTTGTGGGTCTGTCCTCGCCTCTCTCCAGTAGGTTCTGGGGTGCCACCCCCCCCCCCCCCAGAGGAGGAAGTGGCCTGCCCAGGATACCCCGGGGCAAGGTGTGGCCGGTGTGGCAGGAAGTGGGGGTGGGGCCCCCTTCTCTGGATTCGGGGCCTGCCGGGGAAGGGGCCTCAGGGTCCCAGGCATCCCAGCACCCTGTCTCCCTGAGGACCGCCCCCCCCACCGGACCCCCTCACTCCCCACATCCAGAGCCGAGGTGGGGGTGGGGGGAGAGGCTGAGGAGAGGTGGGGAACTCCTTCCCCAAACACCTACTGTGTGCCAGCCCCTGCAAGGGTCGTCTGGCATTCCAGAGGGACACGGTTGTCCCAGCTAGGAAGCACAGCCTGGAACGAGCACCCCGCACCCCAACCCTCCCCGTCCTAGGACATTCATCTCCGAGTGTGACCTTAGCTAGAGCCTACAAACTCCCTCATCCTTTGGGTGGCCTGGACTTCCATCTCCGCTCTGCCAACAGCAGCCAGTGACACCTGGCCGGTGACATCTGTCGTTCTGTGCTTTGGTATTTTCAGCTGGAAAATGGGACAGATCGCGTACTGCTGACCGAGGATGAAGTTGCTAGGGGTTCGCTGGGAGCATCTCTCAGGGCGTTTATTAGCTTTATTTTCTTTATGGCTTTTCCACCCCCTGCTGGACGGTCCTGGAAGTGTTCTTGCACAGTGGCTCCCTGCCTTCTGGGTCGCATCCCACCAACCCCAGCTACGCGCCCCAGAACCGATCCGGGATGCCGGCCTTTATCAAGGTCCCCATTGAGAAATAGTTAACATCCAGGACAAGGCCCAGGGCCCGGAGAGGCGGAGGTGAAAGAGGAAGCCGGAAACTGGGAGGAGGAAGCACTGTCCCTTCCCAAGACAGCAGGGAACCCTGCGGCACCTGCAGCCTCCCAGACCCAGTTCCCCAGGATGGAGCCACGTGACCCCGGGGGGTGGAGGAGCGGCGATTTCCCAGGATACGGCTCTCTGGGGACTCAAAGTCCAGGGCTCAGGGCAGCAAACTCGAGATTGCACGGAGATTGTGCCGGGTGCCGGGGCATCTGGGCACGGGGCAACTTGCCGTTCCGTACCCGCACAGGCATTGGCCCCGACCCCCAAAGCCGCCTCCCCCAGGGGGAAACTGAGTCCCACGAGACAACAGGGGCCCTTCTGGAGGGCTCTTATCAATTCTTTAATGCAGGTCCCCAGAAGGCAGCCCCGGCCCCGTGCTGGTCCCGGGGCGGAGAGGGACGGGGGAGGTTCTGGACAACAGATATCAGGGAGAAGGAAAAGAAATCAGGCAGTGGGTAGAAGTAGGTGGGGCCAGGAGATGGCAGAGGGCTTGGGGGTTTCTCCATAACCGAGAATGTGCTCCAAGTCCAGGAATCACTAGGCAGACACATCAGGAAGGAGGGCGGATAAAGCCCACGCGTGTAGCGCACGGAGAGCCCTCCCTGAGGGGCAGGGCGAGTTCCACCGGTCTTCTTTCTGGGAGTGGTGTTCTCAACTCCACGTGGAATGTCGGGGTGGCTTCACATCCAGGTCATTGCTTGTATGGTGTGGAAGGGGTACCTCTGGGGGGCTGCCTGGAGGAAGTGTGTGGTGAGTCTTCACATGGCTGTGTTCTTGACTGTCTCATCATCTCCAGGCTCCTCCTTCTCCTCCAGCTCCAGCCCCAAGTTTCTCTCTCCTGCCTTCTCAGCCTTCTTCTCCTTCTCCTCCTGTATCTCGTCTTTCTTCTTCCTCTTGTCTCTTTCACTGTATGAATACAAAGGCCCCAGACCACGATAAGAAACAGAGTCGCTCGTATTTAATGACACTTTCATGTGCCAGGCCTTGTGACGAGTGTTTTAGAAAAAGTATCTTTGTTGAGTCCTCGAAACAGTCCTTGTGAGGAAGCCTTATCTCTTTTTCGCAAAGGCAGAAACTAAGGCTCAACCAACCATCCCATGGGTGGGCAGGTGGATGGATGGGAGAATGGATGGATGAATGGATGGATGGATGGATGGACAGACGGATGGATGGAAGAATGTATGTATGGATGGATGGATGGATGGATGGATAGGTAGATAAGTAGAGAAGTGAATGGAAGCTTGCATGGAGGGAGGAATAGGTAAACAGAGTGATAGGTGTAGATTGATTAGAGGAAGGAAAGAATAATGTCAATGGATGAATGGATAGGAGTGTAGATAGGTGGGTGGGGGGATAGATCACTGGGATAATGGGGGGGGAAATGGGCAGGTGGATGGATGGGTGAGTGAGTAGGTTGATGGGTGGGTAGGGGAATGGATGGATGGATGGACAGATGGACGGATGGATGGATGGATGGAAGAATGGATGGATGGATGGATGGATGGATGGATGGGTGGATGGATGGATGGGTGGATGGATGGACAGATGGATGGATGGAAGAATGGATGGATGGATGGACGGACAGATGGATGGATGGATGGATGGATGGATGGAAGACTGGATGAAAGAATGGATGGATGGATGGATGGATGGATGGATGGATGGGAGGATGGACAGATGGATGGATGGATGGATGGATGGATGGACAGATGGATGGATGGAAGGATGGATGGATGGATGGATGGAAGAATGGATGGATGGATGGACAGATGGATGGATGCATGGATGAATGGATGGACAGATAGATGGATGGAAGAATGGATGGATGGATGGATGGATGGACAAATAGATGGATGGAAGAATGGATGGATGGATGGATGGACAAGATGGATGGATGGAAGAATGGACAGACGGATGGATGGGTGGATGGACGGACGGATGGATGGATGGATGGGTGGATGGATGATGGACAGAAGAATGGATGGATGGATGGAGGAATGAACAAGGCAGGGAGAAAACTGCCAACATAGGAACCCTGGTGGATTCTACAACCTCCAGCACATCTGGGGAGTGGGAATCACATTTCGCTGGAACTGCACTGGGTCTTAGACAAAGCAAGCCATCAGGCCTGCACCTGTCCTTCTGTACATTTTGGTCTCAACTGAGAATCTTCCAGTCAGACTGGCCTCCTCCCCTCTCCTGCCCTCCTACTCCTATCCCCCAACTTTTGCCCAAGTTGAGATGTTGTACCGGAAGGTCCCCCGCCCTGCCACATCCCTGAGCCTTCCCATCAGAATCGTGCCTGGAAGCAGTCAGGACCATAGGAGGCACTGAGTCCAGGAGAGTCACCCACAACAAACCACACGCTTGTGCACAGACACCTACACAATCCCACACCACCGTCTTATTCAACACATATTTGCCAAGTGCCAACTGGGTGCCGGGCCCTGTGCTGAGCACTGGGCACACAGCCGGGACTGAAGCTAAGTTCTATTCATCAATTGGAAGCTACCATGTAGTGTCGAGAAGGCGGTAAATGACTAAGAGAATTTCAGCTGGTGTTAAATGCAAAGAAAAACACACAGCTTGGGGACACAGAGCGTCAGGAGAGCGGGTAGTCAGGGTGGGCTTCTGTGAGGAAGAAAGATCTGGGCAGGGACTGAAGGAGGAGCCAGCCGGAAGATACACGGCAAAAGGTGTTCCAATCGGCGAGAACAGTAGGTGCAAAGGCCCTGGGGCGGGAATGTGCTTGAAGTGTTCAAGAGCGGGAGGTCATCTGTGCCCACCCGTGCCTCCCCACCCCCGGAGAGGGCGCACACAGACCCCCTGACCCCGCACACAGCCACCCACGTTCACACAGGCGGTACCTCAGGTCCACATCCTGGTTGGTCTCTATTCTGCACCTGGGCTCCCCCTCATCCTCAGCCCTGTAGGAGAGATAGAAACGGGGCGGGGGGAGGTGAGGGGGGGTGAAGGGCAGGAGGTAGGGAGACCCTCGGCCCCTCTGCCGTGAGCTGGGGCTCACGAACCACAGAAAGGAAGGCAGGTGTCCTGGATTGTGAGGTGGGGGTGTGAGCAGCGACAGGGAAATGGGGAGACAGAAGGGACCAGAGAGAGTCGGAGAGGGGGAGGGGCGCCCAGCACTTTGGGACGGGGGCGGGGACAAGGGAGCGGGGAGAGGGGCTCCCACCTCACTTTGGAGCACCAGATGCGGTTGGCCAGCATGAGGAGGAAGACGATAAACAGGAATCCCACGACGGCTGCCAGGCCCACCAGCCAGGGCTTCAGGTGACGCTGCGCGGCTGTCCGAAGGTGTGGTAGGTGGGACTCAGAGATGGGGAGGCCGGGGGCCTGGCCCCCGACAGGGGAGAGGGGAGCGGTGCTGGGGGTGCTCAAGCAGATGGGGTCTTGGAAAGGGGCTGGGTTCAGAGACCGGATCTAGAGACCAGGAGGGGGCTAGGGGCTGTGACGGGCAGGATTGGCCTCAGGGACGGGGAGGGAGGCCCAGAGGGAGTGGAGGGGCTGGGGGGGGGGGGCCGGGCCCCATTCCTCATCTCCCTGCCCCCTCCTCTCAGAGGCCTCAGGTCCTCATCATGAAAAATGGGGAGAAGGCGAGCCTTTGGATGAGCCCATCCCACAACCGCTCCCCACCACTGCCCCGCCAGCCCGGGTCCAGGGCACAGCCCTACCCTCCTGAGCCTCAGCAGGTGACAGGAGCAGGGCGCTGAGCAGGAAAAGGGTCTCCAGGGTCCCCATGGCCGCGGAGGAGCCAGCAGCAAGGCACAGTCAAGGTCAGGCCCGGTCTAGGCCCTGCCCAGCCCTGGAAACAGCGGCAGGCGGGCCCAGGGGTGGGGCAGGCCCAGACCCGGAGGGGGCCCTCCCTCCTCCCCTCCCCACCGGGAGATCAGACTCTGGACCTGAAATAACAATTAACGCGGGGAGTCCAGCCCCCTCCACCCTGGGCCCTGCCCCGGGACCCAGCCTCCAGGCTCCCAGGCTCCCTGCGGCAGGGGCCCGGCTGCGATGGGCCTCCACGCGTCGCTACGTCTCCGTCTCCGAACTCCCCACAAAATGTTATGCCCCCGTGTCGTAGAGAAGCTCGAGGAGGCCAGGAGCACAGAGGTCACGCGGAAATTTTGCGAGCTGGGATCCGAACCCCGGTCACCCGGAGCCAAGGCTGGGATGAGCACAGGGACAGGAAGCGAGGGGCCGCGTGCCCACCGGGCTTCTCCAAACCCACCCACGCCCTTATGGCTGGAGAGTGGGTCAACCAGGCGCCGATGACTCAGGGTCCAGGCTCTCCTGCCCGTCAACCTTGGTCCCCGGGGCTGATTAGATAGGGGACCCTGCCCAAGCGAGGGAGTGCTGCAGCCCAGCTGTCATGGGACAGCCACGGCCCGGGCACGTGGCAGGAGGCCCGGAGTGGGGGTCTCTGCAGGGCCCTGGGGGAGGGGGTCCGGGGGGCACTGGGGGATAACAGCGTCATTGCACATGGCCTTATGGAGGGCCTACGCATCCCTGGGGCCTCCTCCCTCCCTGCGGTCTGACTATAGACTACAGGCCACCCAGCAGAGCGGTGGAGTTCAAAGCGAGCCCACCCCGACCACCCAGGCGGTACGTATGAAGCCCCTACTGTGTGCCCTATTCTGTGCAAAGCTCAGATGGGAGGGAGGAAGCCTCAGGCAGTGTCCTCCGGGAATTCTCGGGTTAGCTGGGAAGTCAGGACCCCCCCCCCAACCCGGGGACCGGCAGATCGAGCGGGGCCCAGCAGCAGAGCCTGGGAAGGAGGCCGGGGTGGGGACCGAGCAGATCCGGAAGACCGGGGGCAGAACCCCACCTTGGGGCTTCTGCTTCGAAGGCAGGTCACAGAACCGGCCTCCGGCCACAAAAAAGATCTCTCTGCTGCAAGCAAGTCCTTTCTGGGCTTCGTGCCTCCATTGTCCCATCTGTTAAATGGGAGCAAGTGAGTCCTGCCCGCTAGGATCACAGGGAAAAGGCTCACCGAGCACGACGGCAGGCACAGGCTAAGCACTAGGTCACGGTTAGCCACCATTATCACTCTTTTAAAAACATCTTCTTGGTGGAGGCCGGGCGGGATTAGGCTCTGGGGCCAAGGGGGAAACAGGCGGGAAGCGCCAACCACTGGGAGACCTGCCGGCCGAGAACGGGAACATTCTGTGCCAAGACAGGGCAGATCAGTGGAACAAGGGGTCCTGAGCGCCCAAGTCCAGGCTACACAACCGCCAGAGGAGTTCAAGGCCGGGGCCAGGCCAGAGGGCAGGGCCCAGCTCAGTTCAGCCTCCAGAAGGAGCTTCGGCCAGGGGGGTCCTTGAAGGCAATTGAAGGGCGGCGGGGAGGGGCGGAGGCTTCTGCGGGGGCTGCGTCGGTGCCCCCGCCAGGGTCCTCGTCGCCCCGCCAGGCCAGGGCCAGCTGCAGATCGAGCTCCTCCAGATCCTCCCCCTCCAGGCTCGGGCGCAGCTCCTGGGGGGCGTCCTCCTGGTCTGGCTTCGGGCCAAAGGCCCAGTCTGCGGTAGGACGCTGGTGAGGAGCCCCCCCACCCAGGGACCCCGTCCGCCCTGCGCCCCCCCGCCAGGCCACCAGCGCCCCCCCCCCCCCCCCCCCCCCCCCCCCCCCCCGCCCCGGGGTGGCCCAGCACTGCCCCCAGCCAGGCCCTCGGTGGGTAGCGGCTCACCGGCCAGGTCGTGGGCGAGGTCCTTGATGAGATGCCCCACAATGGCGTAGGCCACGGCCACCACCAGGAATGCCGCGAGCAGCAGGTACAGCACATACCTGGGCAGGCGGATGGCATCCAGGGGCGGCGGGCGGTACTCTTCGTAGAGCGGCGGGGCCGGGCTCCAGCCCTCCATCCCCTCCTCGACTGCCAGCCCCGGCATGGTGGCCGCCCGCAGCAGGAGAGGCCTGGAGGTGACCCGCGTGGAGGAAATATTAAGGGGCTTTGGGTAAGAGGATTGGGGCTCCTTCGAGGCCACCATCTGTCTGGATTAATCACAGCGCAAATCGCTTCCGCCCGCTGCGCTCCCCCCTCCTCCCTCGTTCAGCTCCCGCCAACCTGGCTGGTGCTCTGAATGTCTATCCCGACCTCAGGGCCTTTGCTCCAGCTGTCCTGGGAAATTCCCTGGCCTCATGGAGCTGACATTCAAGACGAGGGGACAGACGTTGAGAAAAACAGGGCCTTAGAGTAAACAATGTATTGGGTTAGAACGTGCAGAGCCGTGTTGGGATGGGGGGGCGAGTCTATGGGGTTGGGACTACTAAGGGGAGTGAAAGCTTAAAATATGGTAGCTAAGGTCATATGGAGGTGCATGTGAGCAGAAACCCGGAGGAGGAAGAGAACCAGGGATGGGAGTGCCAGAGGGAACAGCAGTCCGGGCAGAGGGCATAGCACGTGCAAAGGCCCTGGGGCAGGACCTGCCTGGGATACTGGAGAAGAGCGAGGAGGCCCATTTGACTGGAGCAGACTGAGTGAGGGGGAGAGAGGGAGAAGGGGAGGACGAGGAGGGGTCTGGGGCAGACCATGGAGGGCCTTGGGGGCGGTGGGGAGAATCTGGGCTTTTACCCTGAGGGAGGTGGGAGTCCTGGAGGGCTGTGGGCAGAGGAGGGCGGGACCTGACTCAGGTGTTCAGGGGCGCCCTCTCGTGGCTGCTGCGGGGAGGACGGACCGCGAGGGGAGAGGACAGGCTGGAAGGGACTGCTGGGGTCCAGCTGAGTGACGATGGGGGCTGGGCGCCCCTGGAGGCAGAGGAGAGGCTGTCCTTCAGGACCTTTTTCCAACTTTTCTTCTTGCCATTACAAATAATGTTGCAACAGGCGCTTCTTTTCCACCTTTCAAAGTGAAAACACTTTTCGTATGTTTAACTTTCAAATGTTTATTATTTCTTAAAGTTTATTTACTTATCGTAAGAGAGAGAGAGAGAGAGGAAGCGCGTATGAGTAGGGACAGAGAGAGAGAGAGGAAGCGAGAGAATCCCCAGCAGGCTCCGCACCATCAGCACGGAGCCTGATGCGGGGCTCAAACTCATGGACTGTGAGATCGTGACATGAGCCGAAGTCGGACGCTAAACCGGCTGAGCCCCCCGGGCGCCCCTGACTTTGAAATTTTTCATTTTGTTAATGTTTTTATTTATTTTTGAGACAGAGAGAGACAGAGCATGAGCGGAGGAGGGGGGGAGAGAGAGGGAGACACAGAGTCCAGGCTCGGAGCTGTCAGCACAGAGCCCGACGCGGGGCTCGAGCTCACGGACCGCGAGATCATGACCTGAGCTGAAGTCGGACGCTTAACCCACTGAGTTCCCCCAGGCGCCCCTGACTTTGAAATTTTTAAATGCTGGGAATAGTAGTCCGCCTTTTCCCTGCCATCCATTGTTCCGGTGATTTGTTATGAAAACTTGCAAATGTATAGAAAAGTTTAGGTTGGGGGTGTCTGGGTGGCTCAGTGCGTTAAGTGGCCAACTCTTGATTTTGGCTCAGGTCATGATCTCACGGTTCGGGAGACTGAGCCTCAAGTCAGGCTCTGCCCTAGCAGCACATCTCTCTCTGTCTCTCTACCCCTCCCCCACTTGTGCTATTTCTCAAAAATAAATAAATAAATAAATAAATAAACACCTTTTTCAAAAAAAGAAAAGTTTAAAGAATTGTACAGCTGTCATATGCCCACCATCCACTTTCCCCAGTTAACATACGGCTGTATCTGCTCTATTATATAGCTAACCACACGCACACGCACGCACACAAGCACACACACGCAATTATGCATATCAAAATAAATTGCACACCTCACATCCATCAGAACAGCTACTGTCAAAAAGTACAGGGGCACCTGGGTGGCTCAGTCGTTTACGCGTCTGACTTTGGCTCAGGTCATGATCTCACAATTCATGGGTTCGAGCCCCGGGTCGGGCTCTGTGCTGACAGCTTGGAGCCTGGAGGCTGGAGCCTGCTTCGGATTCTGGGTCTCTCTCTCTCTCTCTCTGCCCCTCCCCTGCTTGCGCTCTGTGTGTGTCTCTCTCTGTCTCTCAAAAGATGAATAAACCTTTTTTTTTTAAAGGCACAGATGTGGCAAAATTGGAACCCTCGGGCCAGGATGGCCAGGATGTAGAATGGTGCGGCCACCGTGGAAAACAGTTCAGCAGTGCCTCAAAAAGTTAAACGTAGTCTTCCCATGGGATCCAGAAATCCCGCTCATAGGTATCTGCCCCAAAGATTTGAAAGTAGGGAAGCAAACAGATTCTTGCACGCTGATGTTCACAGCGGTCTTATTCACAATGGCCAAAAGGTGGAAACAGTCCAAATGTCCATCAACAGATGAAGAGATAAACAAACTGTGGTCCATCCACACCGTATGCAACAGTATTCAGCCCTAAGAAGGAAGGATATCCTGGCACCTGCCGCAACCTGGATGGACCTTGAGGACACTGTGCTCAGTGAAATAAGCCCGACACAAAAGGACACATCCCGCATGATCCCACTCGCTGGAGGTCCCTGGGCGAATAACATCCGAAGAGACAAAAAATACAATCGAGGTTGCCAGGGCCTGAGGCTCCGGGGAATAATTCTCCTGTGAACACGGGTATACAATTACCTGTTTGAGTGTATATCTTAGATATACATCTAAGAGCAGAGTTGCTGGGCCGTATGGTATGTGTAACTTTTTGAGGAATACTATCCTGTTTGGACATAACTGCTTAAAAGCTTGCTTTGTCTTGTGTGGACAGCATCCTGCTGACAGCCAGTGGTAGTCTGGACTCTCACGGGGGCAGTAAGATGAGGAAAAAGTGACGGGATTCGGACCCTATTTCAGACCCTGGATGGATAGGTTGGGAAGGTAAGAATGGCATCCAGGTACTGGTGAGAAACCTTGCACTTATCCTGGAGAGCGCTCTTGCTCCGAAACTCCAAATCCAATCCTTCCTCGAATCCTGTTTGCCCTACCTCCAAAAATTCAGGGGAGCCTGGTTGGCTCAGCGAGTGTCGTGCACCACTCTTGATCTCGGGGGGTGTGAGTTCAAGCCCCACGTGTGGGTGTAGAAATTACTTAAAATCTCTAAAAAAAAAAAAATCATAATAAAAATAAACAAAATTAATCCAGAATCTGAGTACTTCTGGTCTCTTTGCTTCCACCCTCCTAATAACGATTTTCTGCCTACCAGTCCAAAAAAAGCCTGTTCAGAATGTCCCTGATTAGAACACTTCTGTGGCTTCTCACTGGTCAGAGTGAAGCCAAGTCCTTTTTCTGTCTGGGCGGTTCTATCCCCAAATATCCCCACGGCTCCTTCCCGCACTCATAGAAGTCATCACCTCGGTCTGTGGCCACGCCCCCTAAGACTTCACACCCCACACATACCCCTTGCTTGAATGCTTTGTTCCCCTTAAGACGCGTCACGATCTAACATGTATTTTATTTATTTACTGTCTGTCTCCCTCAGACAACCGGGCTGGGAGGTTTACGAGGTTATGGATTGCAGGCTGTCTTGTCCTCCGCCTCCATTAGCTATTTGTTACGCGAGCGCTGAACAACTTGACCGCGTGGGGGAAAGGACGCGAACCCTCCCCTCGCGAGCTCGCGTCCCGCCCCCTGAAGCCACTGGCCACGCCCCCAGGACTTGGCCACGCCCCAGGAGCGCCGCGCACGTTCCGTTGCTAGCCGGCCCCGGGCTCCGGCCTGAATCGGCACAAACCATTTCCACTGACCGAAGCGGGTGGGGAGGCCGGAGAGAATCTCTTCCGGGGAAAGAATGAAGGTTGCCCTTGCCCTTCCCTGAGGGATGTCCGTAGACTCCATCCGGTGTTTAAGTGTGAGCTGTGGCCCAGGCGCCGACTCATGCTTCCAGACCTCTCTCCCGCCGCGGCGACTTTGACTGGAACTCCCCCCGAGGGCTGTGTTGGTGCCGTCCGGGCCGGTCACGTGGGCGAGAAGATGGCGGCTCCCGGAGCGCGCCGCGAGCGTCGCGGTTGGTGAGACGCGGGTGGCGGCGGAGGGAGCGGGCGGGCTCGGCGTCCCTTGTCCTCCGGAGGATCGCTCGGGCGTTTCTAGCAGCAGAGAGCGCGGTACGTGGCCGCGGCCTGGCGGGCGGGCATGGGGAGGACGCCGCGGGAGGGGGTCCAGTCTCTGGGATTCGTTGCTTGGGGGGCGGGGGGGGGGGCGGGGAAATCGAGGGGCCTCCTCCTGAGGGGTTTAGGGTCCGGGCGAACTCTTTCCCCGGGTTGCGGGGTCCTTGTCGCCGGCGATCCAGGGGGCTGGAGCGTGCTCGGGGTTCCCATATCGGGCGACCCCTTTCTCGAGATTTCTGGGCGATCCAGCGGCGTGAGGGATCCAGTACTTGGGGACCCGCGTGGGCAGATCTTGAAGCATCCAGTTCCTCGGGTTCTCTTCCAGGGGGAGGGAACCTGCGAGCAGCCCCGAGGGAATCCCTTCCTGGAGGAGCGTTGATTACCAGGTATCTTTTCGTTGGGAATTCTTGGTTTAGGTAGGTCGGGGATGGGGGCGCGGAGGGGTTGAGGAGCCTCGTCTCCTCTCTCTCCATCCCTTACTAATCCATCGTGTCTTCTTCTAAGAGGCTCTCACGGGGGCGAGCGGATTCCCGGATTCCGCCTTGGTTGGGGGCTGATCCCCTCAACCCCGCGCCCACGCCCTTGCCCCCGCTTCCCACTGAAAAAAATGGGCCGAAAGTATGACTTGCGGGCTTCCAGGTGGCTTGGGGCGCCCTCCTGGGCACAGAAGTGGGTTTGGGGCTCCCTGCAGGAATATTTAACAGTAGCTCTGGTTTGTCCAAGGGCCTATTAAGTGCCAGCAATTGTAGGAGGTGCTCTACGAGCATGGCTCCATTGGGTCCATGTGCCCCTTCTACCCATCTTACGAATGATACAGATTTACGCCGGGCATGAAGTGCCTAGTAC